GGATTGTTGGTGATGGTGTCGATCACTTATTGTATTATTGTTTATAATATACTACGTAGATACAAGTGATGCATATAATAATCGGCCGCGTATTAATGCACTACGTTTGTGTTTTTCGATCAATCGATCTTCGCCCTTCGGAAAAAAAAAACAAAACTTACAAACGCGGCTGTTTCAAATTACATTTTATACATCGATACCGACATACCGTTACCAATTTACTATCGTAACCGACGTAAAATATTGTAACAATACTTACCTGATTTACCTATACGAATATTATACGAGCCTGTGCATAATATTATATTATAATGATAAAATTATTACAATTATTATTCTTATACTATTATATTATAATATACAGGTACGACCGTGCAATCGCATCTCGAGCGCATAAATTATGTATTATTATTTTGTTTAGTTCAATTTTATTCAATTTTATTATATATTTTTTTTTCGATTATTTATTTTATTTGTGTATACAAATTATTGTTTATTTAATATTTTAGATTTTAATTTATTTTATAGCGATCGGAAATCGTAGTAGTTATCAACACGTTAATTCTAGACAATTATTTTTGGGCAATTAAAATTCGAAACATTAAAGAAGATTACCTAGATATTATTTTGATGATTATAAATGGGTTCAGTAAAATACATTTTGTGCCAAACATTGAAAATATTGGGCAGTTTAAATGTGATATATTTGATAAACTAATTAGCAACTATCCCAAAGCAAAAGTGCAAATAAATAAATTATGTGCAAGAAACCCAGTGGGTAAAATTGTTTAAATTTGTAGAAAACCTGCTGATAGTGGGTATATAATATATTATACGCGGAAAAGAATGAAGTATTTAAACTATAACTTATATTATAAGATAAATATCATAATAATACATTTATATTAAAATAGCCATCCAATTATTAATATATTAAGTGATTATTGTTTTATTATATAAATTTTAAAAAAAAATTGTAACAACTAAATAACTTTTTAAACGTATAAAATACGATTACGATTTATATGATATTATAATTAATATGTTTTTATTTTTATCCGTATAATATTATTATCGTATATATATTTATTTAAAGAATTATCGATAACGAATATAATATTTATACATATTATATTATATATACCTAGTCTATAATGTAATTTTATTTTTTGTTTTACATTTTAGGTTAGTACATTATATTATTATAAAGAATTTATATCATAATTTTAATAACAGCCACGCATCTCTAGTCATGTGTACAATAAGTTTATTAATCAATTTTAATTTTAAGAGAAAATATTATTATATATGTTTAATTAGTTAACCTAATATTAAAGTCAGGTATCTATACATTTGTATAATGTATAAACGTATTTTTATGTCATATAATGCATAAATATATTATTATAGGTTTATTTTATACATGTTTAATATTTCTAAGGTGATATTTAACGTCAAATCTATTAACCAAGCACAAGGTAAAGTAATCAATTTTTATAAAGACAATTATTTACGAACATTTTTCTCGATTTATATAATAAAATAGCCAGAGGCAGACATTTTCCAGATTATATATTATACGAACAGAACCACTCCTTTCCGGGTAGCTTCGTTAAAACTCATCAGTAAATTTTTTATAAATATACGAGCTTACGTTTAAAAAGAAATTACAGGAATTTTGTTTTCTATTTTGAGCATTTATAGATTAGAAATAATAATTTAAACTGGTGCCACCCTCTCATCATATTGTATAATATTTCTTATTATCTTCCCGTATATTATATGATATTATGTATAATAACAATCAAGCTTGTAGTTCATTTTTTTACTCTATGTAACACACACTTACAATGGATAAAACTCTAATTTTTATATATATACATGTAAAAAAAGACTGAAGATTGTTTTTTTACACTTAGAGCCAGTTAAATAATATTACGAGTGTTTATTTCTAACATTTACATAGAGCGATGTCGACCAGATGAAAATTGTAATTCCATTTTTAAATGTAGTAGTATTGTATAGTATTTTTCTAAAAGCGGGGTAAATAAATCGAATTTGTTTTTTCGTAGAACAAAATTAACAATTTTTTACCGTGGTTTATACTTGTGTGAACCCGTGGGCACAATGTCCATAATATGATGTCAATAAATAATAATAGAATAAGTGTGTAATTTCCCCTCGCGTAAGCGATAATATTATATATTATTGAATAGTAGATATTTAATCGATTTAAAAAAAGGGGGGTTTTGAGCCCCACCACCTCCACTCCGGCCCAATCAACTATATAAATTACCTGTACCATATAATAATATTAACATAATATACTTCCATGATAAAAACAAAGCTAAATGTACAAAATAAAAATAATTGTATTATTATATGTTCAATCTGGTGTGCCTTGTAAATTACATAAAAGTGAATAAAAAATAAAAATAAGAATAATAGATGTATATTTTGGTATATAAAAATGTAAGCAAAAAAAAAAAACAAAAAAAATCGATAGCATTGACGTTCATCTGTGTTTAATTCTATTGTTATATTTATGTGTTACCTACGATAACGATAATAATAATAAACAATAATAATTATACTCGGTAATCTGACAGATTCATATTATTTTTCGACTATAATATTGTAAATAATATAAAACTAACGCGCAGGATGAATAAAATATGACGCGTTTTGTGTACTTAACGATTTTTAAAACAGAACTACGATATATGAACATATCGAAGTTGATTTTTTTAAAGAAAATTTAATTAAATATAATATGATTTCACACGGCTATTATTAATGTTAAAATTAATATGATTTGTAAAAAAAAAAAAATGTAGTACCTAGTTATTGTTGGCGAAAACATAATATTATATATAACCAACGGTGAAGCTAGTCATATGGAAAATATTCCGGTGCACCATATTTTAAAATTTAACGTACCTATTTAACGTTGTATAAAATAAGAATATTATTATTATTATTAAAAAAATATTTAAAAATGATTAGACACGTAAGCTTATATTATAATGTGGTGATCAATTATATCACATTAGTATTATATATTATATATATATAAAAATTCAATGGAATTTAGTCAATATTAATGGTTAATTTTAAGGCATAGTTGTATAAATAAATTAAATACATGTTTAAAAATTGATTTTGTTCTATTTTTTTTTTTTTTTACCTTTATGACCTTTTAATAAATAATATAGCCATTTATATCATGTGATGTAAAAACATACACATGTACACATATTAAGGATATTATATTATTGGTATAATCATTATAATAATATTGGATCCATGAATCTCCCACTATCGTGTTAAATTGAGCATTATTTTTAATCCTAAACATAAAGTGGAAACTTAATGTATAATTTATGTATTTGTAAAATATTTTTAAATAACATTAATACTTGCAGTCCTTAATCCAACAAAATTAGGCAAAAGCAAATACTCAAAATGCAGTTTACTAAATAGATCAGTGTTAGGAAATAATATTATACAGAAATAGCTCTGTTCATGTTCATAATTTGCGAGCTACACACGAATGACACCCAAACGTCACTATCGCTATCAAATAGAACTCATACATGATACATGAACGAAATTCATACTTGAAACGATTTCAAGATCCTTTAAGATATATCATTTTTATATTCTGAGCGGAGCGATGAATGTATTTTATCAACAATGACGTGTGTTAAATTTATTTATTTTTCTTATGCATGAGAACATTTATGAACAGAAAAACAGAAAAAAAGGTTCAATATTGAATAATATGTTTTCTGCTTTCTAGAAGTAAATTTTAACTAGTTTGAACTTAGGAGGGTATTTCTATTACTTTTTAATAGAATTTATACAGTCTGTTTTATCATTATCATTTCATCCTAAAATCAAGTTTTTGCCGAAACAGGAAATAAGAATATAAGAGGCATGGTCTAGCCAGGTAGACTTTGTCGAATTGCACTGATCAATGACTGTATTACACAGTTAATTGTCTATGACTTTATTAACGACAATTAATGTGAAAACCTAAATATTTTTTAATACAATATTCTATTTATATGTAATTATAACAATAAAAAAAAATGAACTTTAGATTACAAGCACAAATGATTATTCAGAATTCGACTGAATAGATATTATTTCGTCAATGAATATGTTTTATGTAGCGGTAGGTATAATAATCTGAAAAACTAATGAAACTACTAAACTAATAAACTAATGAAATTCGAACATTACTTTTTATCTAAACTGTGATCATTTTATTTTTAACTACACATTTTTACGATATTACAAATGTTATTACAAGTGTTTTATATTGTGTCAGAGTTTATTGTCTAAAAATATAGAAAAAGTTACCATTTTACCACAATATTCATTTCGTAAGTGTCTCGAAAGTTTAAATAGTAGCTTAAACTTGGATACAATTTAAATAGTCTTAATGTTTGTTATTAAAACTGAAGTAATAGGAAATGTACATAATTTTACTCTCAAAAATTATCATCTTTATTTATCCGTAAATCGTAACTCTTAAAGTATACATACATTTAGTAATATTGCGAAACTTTCTAATAAAATATGCTCATATGATTACATCAATATATTATTATCTATGATTCAATGTCAGCAGAGTACTGTTTGATTACTCTTTCATCAATATAATTTCACAACATTTCAAAAACAAAACTGTAGTGGTGAGTGTATAAAATATAAATGTGTGTAAATCATATGTGTACCTATCAAATGCAACTACCCAAGACACAAAAGCTATCAAAGGATATCATTCGTAAGGGTATTTTTGAAACTAAAAATGATTACACTAAATAGTTGTTTCGATCATTACATACAACCAATTTATTAACAAAATATAATGAAATATTAGTTGACATTTGAAAGAATAATTTATGTTTCTAATGTCTAAACTTAATTGTTTTATTAAAATAATTATTAATTACATTTAGGTAGCTACAATTTCAAAATAATAATATACAAAAATGTATTGATATTTATTTTTAAGTAATGTTAGGTGTAAATGTGTAATAATGTCATACATACGTCATTATAATACTGATCCACTCGACACACGTACAATTTTCAACTAAAATTAATATTCATAATTATCAGCTCTACGGAATAATCGAGTGCAATTCAAACATTACCGGTTTTTAACCCGAGCGCAAAATTTTGATTTAGGTAAGGAGTGTAATTCGTACGACAGTTGTCAATCTTCGAAGACGTATTATACGACGTATGATGAAAGTTAGTAAAAGAGAACAAATTGAGAATACTCGTACGTTTTTTTTAAAGACATTTTTTTTCATATTTGTATACATATTTTAGGATAAAATAAATAACATATTTTAATACCTACTATGTCTCGTCAGAACTCAGAGAACTTACATGCATCCATTCATAATGAAAGTCAATTTATCTAAATTATTTTAAATGGACGTATTTAAATTAATTCACGACGTCTTAAATAATTTTATCAATAACGATTTTGTGTCATTGTTCAGTTGTAATATTATTGGGTGATCTTTCATCTGAACCATTGTTGATATTCCAGTTATCAATAAGGCAATTATCTGTAAACAAACATAATTTAAAAACTAAGTATAATGTATACTCTAAACAGAACAAGAAACTCAAAAATGTAGTATAAATACAAAATCAATTCCAAAAATAATTGGTTTATTAACACATTATAAATTCCTTTATTAAATATTTTAGTAAGCTGCACAACGACATATTAAAATAAATATACAATTTTACTATGGTTAATTAATTGTGTATATACCAGTACTTACTGATGTAACAAGATTTAAATTGATATCGAAAAATCCAAACGCCGAAATTTGGTCCAATTCATAAGCTAGTATTTGATTCATAAACATTTTGATCTGAATGATTAAAATATATTAATAATAACCAAACAATCAAAAAATATATATATTGTTGGTAATTTAATTAATACGTTTTTATAGTTAAACATACAAACTATTCAAACAAATAAATTTTACTTGACGTTTTATGTCCAAGTGTAAATTTGAAATTCGGTATAATCGTAGATATGATATCATCTTTATTCGCTGTAAAAACAAATTGAAAATACTTTTTTTTTAAATGTGGTTAATGGTTATCTATAATGTTTATTTTTAAATCACGAAACATCAAACTTTTCTTTCGAATAACTATTATTATAAGCAGTTTGCGAATTAATTGATCTCGATAGGTATATAGTTTTGTATAGTTTTAATGCATTTATTCAAATTATTTTTTATGTATACTCAAACAATATTTTTCAAATAATTAGATTTTGTATACCATTTTAAGGAGTCCTGACACGATACAGACTTCATTTTTTAAATGAATGTCATCAATTTTAGTTGGAAAACGTTTGGTTATTTTGAAAATATTGGTGCATCCACATTTAAATTTGAAAGAGAATTTTTATTTGTGATCCAAGTTAATATACTATGAATTAAAAAATATAAGTACCTAATATTTAATGGTTTTATGTATAAGATGTTTTCAGTCTACATGTTTAGAGCTACAAATAAAATGTTATTAATATTTAATTTAATATTGATAGCTAAAAATATGTCTAATTCGTTAAAGCCCCCATATAATCAGAAAATCTAAATTTTTTTGTGTACGTAACTCGAATATAAATAGTATATTCTAAAACACTAATTGTGCAACATTTTAGATTGATTAATACTGAGTACTATGCTAGAACATATTCAAAAATCGTCTGCCAACAAATTTACAATAAAAATGGGTAGTTCTAATATTTGAAAATGAATGTTGTATTGACTTATTATTATATAAACTTCCTAACCTACCTTATAATATACTCATTAAATCGTATAAGAAATCTAAGATCTTTTAAATCGTCTTTTTAGAACTAAATGTCATACCTTAGAAATGTATGTTTTGGAAATATGGTACATAAAAATGTACTTAAAAAAATAATACTCTAAAATCCAGAATATGAATAATTGAATAGTTAGAAAAAAATATAGGCATGATAATGCCTTATTATCTACACTGTATATACTTAACGTACCTTTTCGTTTATGAATGAAACAAAAACGATAATAGACACCATTAACGTGAACATTTGAACGTAAATTATGAGTGGAATTACAACTCGGAATTTTTCAGCTGTATTTGCACTGGATAATGGGTCATTGTTGACAATAAAATAAACGCCGATAAGCATGCTAATGAAGCTGAATGTGTAGAAACCCAAAAGCAATCGGCCGTAACCTTGAGTAAATTTTTGTGACAATTCACATAGTTCGGAGTGCAACAGCCGGGTATTTTCCATCAAAACCACTATTTCAATGTGTGTCCATTGACAGGGAACAGCAACTAATTCAGTAGGAAGACATTTCCAAAAATCGATTAATGTCTGGAATCTGAAGTACAAGTTTTGAAGAAAGAAACACGAAATGATCGTCACTGTGGAATCCATAACATATGGCGGAGAGAATACTAGACTGTGTACCAATGTACTAATGTTTAAAATCTTAATGGGATATAAATACATTTGTAAGCATTTAAATCCGATTAAGTAGACAATGAACGGATACAAAATCCGGTCCCACTGTTTTTTTTCCAATGGATTTTGTGTGATCAACAAATTGGTAGAAAGTGGTGAAATTTTTCGATCGAATTCGATAATTCCATTAATAAATCTGAAACAGAAATGATTCAATTTAAGACGAAATTGGTTATGAAGCAAACATTTTGGAATTAGTTAAATAATATTTTTTTCGTTGAACAATATTTTAGTATAGACTTTTTGCATAAGACCATATTTTGGTGTAGTATACTCATTTTTTCACTAATGGACTTTTTAAAGGTTATTCAATTTTTAAAAACGAAAAGATCTTTTAGTATTTATACAAAAAAAATAGCGATTTTTATTTATTTTCTCAAATTAATTTAGTTATTTACTATTTTGTTGTAATTTAAAAAAATATTATTTGTAGAAACGTCCACGGTTTAGATGTCGACATTTTTCAGTCTAGTTAAATTTTAATTTTTTCATTGCAGGTATACAAATCATTATTTTTCGAATATCAGATTAAAAATATATTGAAATATGATTTTAGGGATATTGAAAAAACAGCAGAAATCGGAATTTGTATCACTGCAAATTTACATATCCACAATGGTTATCCGAAATTTACTTTACTTTACGTTATATAATGACATATTTTTAGTTCAATAATAATCTTAGCTGTTAAAGCAGTAACATAAAAAAAAAAAACAAAAAAATTATCATTTCACGGAAATTTCTAAGTTGTTCATGTTTGAATATTCAAAGTTTAAGAATCGCCTTAATCGATTGAAGTCGTATACTTCACCGTTATAGTACTGTTCTAAAAATATCTATCAAACACTAACTCAGCAAATATTTTACGCTCGCTTATGATGATTTTTCATGTCCTAACAAAATATTATAGTTTCAACCTGTATAGAATTCTGATTAAAAATTAATATGTTGAATCAATTGTTTGCGCTATAAGTTTTCTCGTTATAAGTATACTATTCATATTCATTGAAATTATATTACTCTTGTTAACTTAACACTCGCCTTAAATTTTCGTAAATTAGTATTAGGATAATAAATAGTGGAATATTTAAAATGAAATCACAAATAAGTTATTTTAACTTCCCTGAACAAATAAAATGTCAACTCCTAAATTAATTTCAGTATAAATAAATATATATACATATAGTTACTTGATAATCCATATTGTTGATACTCTGGCTGCTATAATAACAATCCAAAATTTCATTATACTTATGTATTGAAAAATATGAAATTCTGGATCAAACTGATGAAAATATATGTAGGTGCATAGTAACAACACAATCATCCGTGCTATTTCTAGAAATACGTAGAACATTGAGTTTACATCCCGAACTAATAAACCATTCGATCCCACGGTATATGAAATATCAATTAAACCCATACATTTGGACAAAACTAATATAGATCTTAATCTGATGTGAAATATTGTTGCCATTTCGATGATGTTTGTTACCAAAACTGAAGTAATGGTATAAATAATTTTGCTGGAATAAATTGATTATTGTTATTCATTCGTACATCAACATCATAACGCTTAGTATACATATGAAAATATTGCATGCGTTTCTAATAAAATATTCTCATATTATTACATCAGCTTATGCAAATTATATACTTCAATGTCAGCAGGATGACCAATATATTACTAGGCATACAATTGTAGTAAAATATTCACAACATTTCAAAAGTGGAATTTCTTTCACACTACCTTTAGAAATTATATATGTATTATGAAGTGAAACAAATCAACAAAGGGTATTGATGTGTATATAAAATATATAATATTTGTGTAAATTAGAGCTGACCTATCAAATGCAACTACTCAAGACACAGAGTGTAGCAAATGATAACACTTGTATAGGTATTTTTGACCTATTATTATGTTACGTATGGTAAAGATTGACAGTAGCCAATGATAATATACTTAGTTTAACTGGTTTACACTTTTTACAGTGCACTTGTATTAAATTAAAATAGTTCTGGAGATTGTAAATTTAAAAACAGTTTTTTGATAATACTTTTCATCAAAACTAAAATATTTAAGTGCAAATCAATCAATAAATGTTAAAGATAAATGTTGTGTGTCGTTTCTTGACCTATACCTAAGGACTGAGGCTATTCCTAACCTATAGCGTTGCCGTTGAGCTATTGAAAATTTTAAACTTTAAAGTACTTTAATAGAGTTCATGTTATGTATTTTATACATAGTACTAATAATAAAAATAAAAATCATATGAAAAATACAAAGATTAAGGGACACACACTGTGAGTATGAAATAATAAGTGTATAGCTTAATGTTATCATGTTAATTCACATTAAATGAAACATTGAACACTATTTTTGGGCATATTTTTATATTTTATAACAATGCATAGGTAATAACAGTAATGTATTAATAAAATAATAGTTTTTGTTGGCTTAAACAAAGAAAATACATGTGTCAAAATATTTAAAACCTCTTATTTCCCCTTTTTATAATAAAGAATTTTAATTATTATCGTATAACGAAGTATACAATTTGGACTAAAATTATGTATTAATAACTATTTATGTTTATATTTTATTATATTGGTATAGAAAAATGATATAATTATGAGTATGATTTCAAGAATAACTAAATAAATATTTTGAAAAAACTTAACCCGTATATAATAAAGCTTTTACGAAAGCTTGTATATGCAATAAATTATCATAATCAAATATAAATCTTGATGTATAATTCTAACGACTAAAAATTAAATTATGTTTTTTTAATGATGGTTGAGTTAATGAAGGGGTATTGTATAGGCAATTATTCGAGCATGTTATTTCTGGCCATGTGTAAACAGTGAACATACATTAACTTGAACAACTATGATAGGTATCCTATAATATTAGTTCTATTAAAAATCAATTTATTTATATTACTCAATAAATGTATTGACTAGTAAAAAAAAAAATGCCTTGTGCGATACAGTTATACATTCGAGCAAGCCACTGGTGCATCGTGTAGTATTTTGATTTCTGAATTTTAGAGCCTGTTTTTTCGAATTGTTGAATTTTGCAGAACATTTTATTTCGAGTTCCCCTACAGTTTAGACCTCGAGTACGTACTTTAGGAGCTTCATTTGAACTGCCTAAAATTATGTGCAAATGCTAGTGAGTAAAACTATTTATAATTTACATTACTACATTTAAAAGCTAATAGCACGAATATGACGTATATGTACACTTTATAAAGTTATTTATTGTCTAGTCTCTACGTAATAAATGTATTGCTAGTTTTCTCACTACCTTATCTCATTAAACTTTACTTGTAAATCAATATAGGTTTCACTTATTGTCACATGAGGTGGGTATTGCACAAATGCACAAGGTGCGTTTTTTTATTGTGTTTTCCACAAGTAAGCCAAAACCACATAAGATAGAATGCATGATAGGGAAAAATGTCCCGACTCATGATTTATCATGCTATTGTACATTTTGTTAGTTAGAATAACAATATTTAACATAAAAACTGTGATAAAAACTGTGATTTAATAAAGTATCCTTTAGTTCAATTGAAGTCTTATCCCCACAAGAATTCAAGATTTGTATGGATGACCCGAAGAATCGAAAATTGAAATATACTAATAGTATATTAAAAATAAGTAAATTTACTTTAAAAATAAAATATAAACAGGATTTACTTATTACTAGCTAAATTAAAATATGCCTATAAATACTAAATGCATTACTTAAAATTCATGTACTAATAGTTAAGTGCTACATTTCCTATTATAGTTGACGAACGACAGTAAGTTGTAACGTGTAACTAAGAACAATTCATATAAATGTTAAGGTTAATTGACTACTAAACTATAATATCCGATCACCAGGACTCAACCTCGTGTCTTCTCATCATCGTAGAAAGTAGCAACATAATATTATGTATTTATGTGTAACATATTAATCACTTATAATATAACATTAACGTACGTTGCACTAGCTTGGCCTTTTTTTCAAATCAAAAATGTATTTTCACAAATATTAAGCCTTTAAAAAGAAAGAATTTTAACAACGAAATTATAAGTTGCGAGTAATGATTCAACAATCTAATTCCAAAATCGGATTTTTCCCGTTGTGCTAGAAAAGCCAGAAATGGAAATCTAAGAATTTTGAAAAATTATTTTCGACCAATCATAAGATATTTAATATATTCAAATTCTTTTTATATAATTTAAATTTTCTTCTTAATTGAATAAAAAAATTTTAATCATAGATAAATAAAATCTTAATTGAATAAAAAGATCTTAAATAATTAAATAAAACCTCAAGTGGAAAAAAAAACAATTTTCAGTTGTATTAAAAATCTGTATTAACTAAAAAAAATTGAATAGGATAAAAAAAACTAAGGTTAATAAAAAGTTTGTTTAAATAAAAAAAATATTGATTTAATGGAAGAACTAAATTAAACAAAAAAAAATTATATTTAATACGTTTGTAAAATCAAATAATTTATTGGAATATAATCGTATGCCATAACACAACGTTGTTAATCGGATATATATGTTGAACCTGGAGGCATTGACGTGACATAAAAGCTGCACACCCGGCGAGTGCAAAAAGAACACTCGTAGTTAGGAACCACAAAGTCTAAGGAACTTGACTTGGGAGTCACGGGAACATTGCCATTTTCGAGCTATGTCAAAAAGCAAATTTCAAAAAGTAATATTTATTTTAATTTATAACTTAACTATAAGACATTTAACTCATTTTAGCCCAGGTTTGCAATTTGTAAATGTCATCCATACGGAATACTTGCACTTTCATTTTAGACTTCCCATTTAATTTATTTATAAATTTCGATCCTTAATCCATAGATATAGGATTTTTATTCAATTAAGACATTATATTGTTCAATTTGTTTATTAATTCTTAATATTTATCTGTATTCAATGAAAAAATCTTAATTTTAATCAAAGGAATATTTGAATATGAAAACGATATTTGATTTTAAAAAATATTCACTGAATAAAAGACCCACGTCGGATAAATAATCGATATTTAACACATATGGGCATTTCGTAGGTCTTGAATAATAATGTGAATGTAGTTTTTAGTGTTACAATTGAACCACATTTTTAACTAAACGTGCTGTGGCTGGAATAATAATAGGTTTACACGTAATACACAAATAATAATAAAACCATTTTAGTGCACTTGTTTGTCTTTTTTTAGGAACATTTTATATCAGTTGATTCCCTTAGTTTAAAAATAAAGTGCAACGAATGAAAAATGTGATGCTAGGTTTTGAATGAGTATTTCTATTTCGATTAATTTTGGTTTATGTAAGAAATATGAATAATCTTACTTGATATTTTCGAAAATTCTTTATTTCAGTACGATAATAATCACTAGTAAATAATGATCAGTTCTATTTTTTTTTGTGGGAGCAAATAGAATTTTTAGAATGTCACCTTTTATTTTAGTTGTACGATTGTAGTTGGCAATTTTTTATACATTGCAATTTTCTTAGGAATATGTCCTTTGTCTCCGTAAAAACTTTGTAATATAAAGCCTTGGATATTGTTCTTCTGTATGGGAGTGGTTAATCTGTAACGCATAGCCATAGCACGGAGAATGTGTTAAATACATTGTGATATCCAATAATCAATAACCCTTCTTTCTATTACAATTCACAACCTTCGTGAATGTTCGCAGACCACCGTTAGACGACCCTGCAACTACATTATGAATAAACTATAAGGTGTCACGAGATAAGAGAACTGATATTATAATATCCACATTATAATTAACTGACCACATATAATATAAGAAAGTACATAAAAAACATAGTAGGTACCTAGGTGCTGCTGTACCTGGGTGATAATAATATGCTTTAAAATCACAATTATTATTTAAACAGAGCATAAGTAGGTACACATATTATAATATAATTTATGTATGTAGTGCCATGATAGCTTAATATCTAATCCAACATTCCAACTTAATGAGGATGGAAAAATTACAACAAAGATTATTACTCCGACCTTGACTTATGAAAGTGACGAGATGTGTGAAACAATTTTATATTAATAACTTTTGAGTAAACATTGATCGTAACGATTAATTGCATGCAAATATTTATAGTTATTCCATTAGGCACCTATTACTGAGGAACTCTCGTGTTGTAATAATATATCTATTTATTATTATTTTATTACTGAATAGTGAATACAGATATTTTCTTAAGTAGGTATATTAAATATTGATAATGATTACAATTCTACATGTTTGTGTTACTAGCACGAATTAAGAAAATATGGATACCCAACATGCTAAAATAAAAGGACTACGAAACTGACTTAGTTCTTATAATGCTCTGGGCAAACTGTTAGTGGTGCAGTAGCGCTTATCTTATGAATTAATCCCTTACATAATAGTGTCGTGACATTTACTACGTAATTGTGATAATGATACAATGTTATAAGATTTAATCTATGATAGTATCAGTTAGCACTTGGACTGCTTGTCTTGTGTTTTAAGTTGTACACGTGTGACTATGTGAGCTATTTCTGAAAGTTGAAACAGCGTTGCCGGTCACGGAAAGTACAGATTCATTATAACTCATTGGGCATCCATGCTATCCTAATTCTTGGTTACTATAATATGATAATTTTTTTTTTCAACTGTTATACATTTTCAATTACAAATGTACGGGTACCTATATACAACTATCAGTTGAGAAAAATTTAACAATATTTTCACTCAGCTATTAGATCTTAAGATACTACTATATATTTATATCAAGGTAGCTTATTTATTATAATTTATAAGGTTTACTGCTTAAAAGAATTATGAAGTTTAAACTCCGAATGTCAATAAAAGAAAAATTTTTTACAATGTAAGGTTTCAGTGAGAGCTACTTGCGAGGAACCTTGTATTAAATGTTTAATATTTTTTATGAATACTTTAAAAAATTAAAAACTAAATAACAATTAAATTCCACCACTTAATACTTAATTTTAACACATAAAAAATAGATAAATATTTTTACTGAAATCGGTAATAACTTTATAAGAGTTTTATGTATATTACGTGGTATGTAATATACTTCTAATTATTGTTACAATAGTTTAAAATAAATGTTTTATTTTCGTTGAAAACTATGACTTTTAACCATCTACAAAACAAGAAAATGCACAACCACTAGCCACCGTTTAAGTCTCTCATTTAAAATTAAAAAATAAAATAAATTATTTATGTTGATCTGAAATCAATATAAAAATAAAAATAAAAACAATATCTATAAAGTTAGTTGAACTGTTTATACGTCGCTGTAGGTAGATAATAGATATTTAAATTATATATTATCATAAAATAACGCAAGAAATCATACTACGCTCACGAATGTTTAATATATAACTAATTATTTATTTAGTGCGGAGATAAACGTCTGTATATTATAGAGCATTGGATTAATATAATAATTGTTTATTACTAAAAAATTATGTATATTATATATTATAACATTTTTATAATCGATTTCTAATAAATCAAACAAATCCAATGCATAATATATGTTCTGTGTGGTTTATATAATAATAATAATGCTGATAATGATTTAAAACGGAAGGTATTTAACATTCTATAATTTGTACTTATTAGTTATTTAGGATAACAATAAGATGTTTACCTGCATTGTACTTAAATAATAAATAAATGTACGTAGTAGTTTATGTAAGAAGATGGTGTATAACTACTATTATGCATTTAATTGGTTTTTTTAAGAATAATGATGAATTTAATCTGATTTTACTATTATATAGTCACTATACGATATTGTATGCTCGACTAGTCAAGGTTTCGTATAGGTTTACCTATATAATTAAGTATTCATATGCACATAGATAATTAACATTTAGGTACATCAAATCTGCGGACTGTGGGTTACCCCTAATTAATATTTATAACTCAACTAAATTAAGTTAGATTTCAAAGTAAATTTGTTCACATATAAACAGTTATAACCTGCCTATAATAAGCATAATAATAATATGTGTATCTCTGAAGTGTGATCTATAAGTAATAATTTTAGACAACATGAAATATTTCAAATGATTGAAAAAATTAACTTTAAGCTTTAAAGACTAATTGAGTTGTCCTTTTTTTAGAAACATTTTGAATATCTACGATTCCTTACACGTGTGTGCATCCAACTAGATACCTATTGCATCATCTGTAAATTTATTTGATACTAGATTTATAAAAAATTGCATATTTTGATATTTTATTGTTTAAGTTCTGATTCTAATAATAAAATAAGAGGATTGAAACTATTATGCGGTTAACGTGCAAATATACCTATTACCTATTATTCATTATTCAACATTAATTAAACGTAAAAACTTATTTTATATCATTATACTGCATATGTAAACATTGTTATGACGAAAGAATTATTTCATTTTTAAAACATTGTGTAGGAAAAAATTTTAATGGGCACTTAAAACACCTGACATAAAATATCACAAACAGTATACACGATAAAAAAAAATCAATTTATCTACTATTTAATCTTTTAATCAGTTGAAATATGTAATACTGACATTAAGACACATATTATTATTATTATGCTTGGGCAGTGGGCACTATTCTTGAAACAGATAAACTGAAGCTCTGTCTACTGTCTATATACATTTTATATTAAATCGTTTGTCCATTTTTCATATATTAATAATGTATTAATATCTATATCATTCGACGAACGCACCAAAATTAAAATCTACGCACGATTAAATTTAAATAAATACATATAAACGTACTTATAAATATTCATAATATAAAATATTATATATATATACATGAATAAGTATAAAAAATATTATATTTAATATGCATACAAAAATAAACCTGTCAGTAAATATTATATTAATCGTGCGTCAATAAAATATACTTCTAATAGGTAATACCATTTGTGTTTACTTTTAAAAACCACCCTTTTTAAGTAACTCATAAATACCTGTATTGTTGTAGTATGCATATCTATACCAGATGACAAGTACAAAACTTAGTGTTTTATGAGTTCCTCGTGAACGTTTAACAATACCACACCCAGCTATTTGTTTTGTTACACCATACGTGAACTAACGCACTTCCTATTAAAAACTTTCGATTTAGCTACTGGCATATTCACTAATAAATTGCGTCAGTTTCAAGGTTTTCGACCTGTTCTATGAGACTACGACGCACCAACACTTCCGTAAAAATATACAAATTCACCTTGCTCTGATTATTCACCCGTATCCGCTTACGCACAGAACGATATAATATGTTATTATAAACTTCAAAATATACGCATACACGTACTTCAATATCGAGCATTCCAATAAAATACATCATTATTATAAGTGACGCACCCTTCTAAATTTAGATTTCTAACAGCATAAATCAATTTTTCAGGATTTAAGTGCAAAGCAAATTTAGTTATAATACACCTCTTAAGAGGATGTCGGAGCACTATTTGTTATCTTTATGTGGCCCATGGGAAAAATTGCAAATTTGAATTTAGCAGAACCAACACTGTGTTATAACTATTGATTTTATAGTGAAAATCATGTATTATCAAACTTTAAGTTCAGTATACTACCTGTGTCTCTACACTCGTACGTTGACTATTTCATAATACTTAATTTGTATGTAAGTTATGAGCGTGTAAATAATTACAGTTTAGGTGCTAATAAACATTGAAATATCGTAAAAACACCAATTGCAGGGGCACAGAAATAGGAGCAACACAGGGTTGGTTTTTACTAAACATAAATATGTTTCACAAGAGAGAAAACAAATGGCGCTTGCGTACTCTAAAGAATTATAGTAAAGTATTTTATATTTGATAAAATGTAAAGTGTAATAATAGGTATAATATCATATTTACTATTCATACATCAAAATCATTGTATGTTTTTTAGTATCCGGAAATCTCAGAAACTACAGAAAAAATTGTGCACACATATTCGCTGAGACTCGAGGAGTGTTTTATGTGTTTATGTCTCAGCTATAGGAAGTCTTACACATAAATATTGTTTTGGATCACCCAGCTGTTTATAGCTTATATAATAAAAAACCTCTCTTGTGACAAACATTTCAGAGATTATTATTAGAGATATAAGCAAAGTGTAAAGAGTAGTTTTAACTACGTTCAAAAATATACCAAGTTCTACATAAAATCTATCTCAGGTGGATCTAGGTAGAATTCGCCAACAAAGCGAGGTACACCTATACAGCATTGTATTTTATATTTGTTCATTTTCTACCACGCAAAGTCGAGTTAACAGCTAGTTATAATATAATATGTGGGCGTTTGAATTGTTTTCCCGAGGCCTGCTGATATAGGACTCATCAAATCGCAAATTGAGGCAAGACTGGTTGAAACGGCAAACTCGGCCAACACACCTATGTTCGTCAAAATAATATTGACTGATTCCGTTACAGCTATTTTCTATCAAAAACAAAACATGTACGATTCCCGTTTCCATCCAAAAAAGTTAAAAATCAATGATTTTCATTTTTAGGCAATGCGTTAATATAGTAACATGGAAATATAAAAATAATTTGAAATTATGCGTATGAAGTTGGCCCCCCAACTTTGTCCGATTGATTCGAAAAATATGCCAATATTTTTCAAATTAATTGCAAATAATTGCAAATTGGTTTTTTGAAGTGACAAATCAATATTTTTTTCGGTGAATTTTACAAGTATTTACCAGCCCCTCGACTTCACACACCTTTTAAATTTTAAAATAATATTGAAGACTGTACAGTAAAAATACAACTATTAATTATCGATGACTGAAATATAAACTGAATCAAGATGTTTGTCAAAAGCATAGAAAAATAATATCAGATAATATCATCTATATGACTATATATCATCTAAAAAACTTTTATGATACTTAGACCAAATCGTTAAAATTCAACTGTTGAACTATGAATCTAGGATTTATGTGATTTCTTAAAAAAAAACAATAGCTTATTGTATTATTTGATTGAGGTATGATTAATACTTGTATTATATTTCTTAAGACATTCTAAAATATCCAAGAATAATATATTGTGATTAACAATTTTAGCAATCATATAATGATTATAGAATTTTCTTATTTAAGTGTACACACGTGATTTTTACATTTGTATATGTTCATTAATAATATTGGGCAGAAACGTCTATTCACAACAATACATTTCGACGGAAACTAGAATTGTATCTTTTTCATTTTTGATGGAAAAGACCATACGTAAATCAGGGAACCGGTTTCGAGCGGAAAAGGCCCGTGTAGAGACTAAACAGAGGTAAGTGTCCTTCGGGGACACGCCATAACACAAAACCATCACAATCATATTATGCGTAGTGTATTATAATAATATTATTATTATTATTATAAAATTGGTATTATATTAGCGCGCGCGGAATAGATAAAATCAGCAAAAATGTCCCTCGCACAAAAAAATATTAGGAGGTATACACACGACGCCCTTGTTATTTTTGGCGAACGCATGCAGTCGGGCTCTCTATAATAGTATGAGTAATATATTTATATATATATACAGGGTGTAACAGAAAAACCTGACAAATGAAAAATGAAAACTTGAAACAAGTTATATGTACGAATAAATATGGATGGTAAATTATGAAAAATTTACTTATGTATGAATAATCTCAAAAATAATATTTCTAAAAAAAATTATTATTAAGACTCAAATAAATTTACTCAAACAAAATATACATATTTTAAAAATAGTACAAAATAAACTACTTGGTTTAAATAAACGTTTTAATGTAGATTTTTTTTTTTAATTACGTTTATAAAATTGGCTATTTTGAATTCTTCCAAAAAAATATAATATCATTTATAATTTTTATTTTCAGTATTAAAATTAAAAAACTACATACCTTGTGGCTTTAACCTACCATACTTGAAGCCCTAGAATCTATAAATTAAACACAAAAAATAAATATTGTATTAGAACAAAAATGTAGTTTTTTCATTTGCGAAGTCTTTCTGTTACACCTTGTATATGTATATGTATATTTCGATGACGGTGATTTTAATTATAAAAACTCGCACGTATTGTGCATGATTTTTCAAGTGTTGGCCGTCCGGACTCCGGAATGATCAATATTCGGTCGGGTTTGCAATCGTCCATTGGGTTTATCCCGAAAATTTGCACAGGCGACGTATCTTATAATACACACAAATAAATAGTAAATATATTAAATATGGCATATAAGTACCTAATGGGAAACAATGCAGCATAATAACTGTTTGTGGCTGTATTCGTTTCAAACACTAAATCGCGATAGTAATTACTAATTATATATATTACCTATGTATATTTTATAGTACGTATGTGTAAATTATACACTGTCTCGATTTATGAACCATATTTTAGTTCAAAATTCTATTGGTATTCGATTTTGTTGGTTTGAGTTGTAATCGATTTATTAAAATGTTTAATATAATTTTAACAGATAATATTGCCTATTCCAGAGATATCAATAAAATGGAATATTATAATACAAAATAAATTACGAACGGATAACCGGTATCAATAACAATTCATTATTTACAGAGATACCTATATCATAAGATCGCTGCTGTATATCCAATGCCTATTGTGATCTATTATAAGAACATAAAATCGTGACCGAACTTGAACGTGGTGGCTTACGCGTACGGGCGAGCAATTATTGACGTGAAATTAAAAACGGATTTTAAACAATCAAGAAACAAAAAAAAAAAATGTTTAAAAAATGGTCACACTGTCCTTCTGCGTACTCCTACCCATAAACTAAGATATAGTTAATGCTCCTACCTTAGATCATACTATTATACAAGTAATATATGCAGAATCCTATATCCATAAGACGGCGGCGGTACGCACGCCAAGTCCAGCCGCCTATTGCATAATTCCGCCATGGCGTGGTCGCCGCCAAGAGAACGAGCCGCCGCACGCGACAGGTGGTGGCGCGTCGCCGTCGCGCATTTCATTCATTCATTCGCTCGGCGTGTCCAGACGTGCGCGGTGCTCTGTCCACAGACGGGCCACTCTCGTCCGAATAAAACATAGTACGTGTTGATATTTTATTGTCATCGTTGTATTATCGTGTTTTTTTAATATTGACGATCCCAAAACAGTGGTCATCTGTTATTATTGATTTTTTTACGTTCGCCGTCCATCATGCGAAACCCGGCACCACCGATAGTATTATAATATTATTTTGTTCGTATACCGCGGTTACCGCACGTCCGCGATATTAAACGGCGGCACCGCGTGAGACGACCGGAAACATGATCAGCTCGTTTCAGAACTTCAGCGGCGCCGCCACCGCCGCTGCATACAACCCGATGGCGTACAGCCACCACGCTGGCCACGGACAACAGCTTCACTCCATGTACGGAGCCGTGGCCGCGGCCGCTCACCAGGCCGCCTACAACGCTGGCCAGCAGCCGGTGGCATACCACCCTGCGGATTACGGTTCACCGGTGCCGCCGCCACAGCAGCCCAGGTACTACGAGTCGCCCAACAGGCAACCGATGACCACTCCAGAACCGCCGAACCGCAAGAAACCAGTTCCGCAACAGCCGCCCGTCCAGTTCACCAGAGTCCAAGGCGGAGTGCCCGGCGGTACCTATATAAAAACGATTTAATAAAACTTTATGGTTGTCGGTACTGTTATGTTGACGATATCGCAGTATGTAATATAAATGGGGGGGGGGTTTAAGTAAATTAAGTAAATAGGTATACCTCACTTAGAGTAAATACCAAATAGTACGATATTTAGTAGCGGGTACCTATAACGTTTTAAAATTGAACTCTCCCGATTAGATTTACGATACACAAGCAGATTTCAGCAGTTATTACTGCCATTTGTCTCGCCGGGTGTGCGGCCAATATTTACACAGACAACTAATTGTTGAGTAAATATTTTACGAGTTGAATCACCGATTTCAATCAAATATTTAAATAGTTAGGTAAGTTTTTCAGTTTAGGTGGAAGGCGGGTAGCGGTATTATTATATGTAAATAACATTAAATACGTATATATAGTAAGTGAGCGTTTACTACTCTCTCTTTAATACTCAGTTTTAAAAAATGTCGTGTATAAAAAAAGGACGATACTGTATATTACTTTTCAAGAGGAATACGATTAAAATAAAATCGATATAATTGTGTCAATATCTTTTGTGTATAATAGATATGGAAGATTATGTACTTAAGTTTGTTATCGGAAAGTTTTTTTCTAAGAATATGTCTGAGTTAAAAAAAATAAAATAATTTAAAAGTAAATTCGATCGGACATTTTAGTTATTCAAGAATTTTGACTGAAAAAATATAATGGCGTAGGTATACCCTTGCATTTATTTATTAATGTCCAATACACCATATTATATTATAATAATTGCGTTAAGTCGACAAACCATCACGGTTATTTTATACAAGCATATTAGGTATATACTGTGTACCTATGAGCCTATGAGAAGGATCACAACCCCAATCTCCATCGACCGTTGTATAACAGGACCTAAGCCCCCCCTCCTTATAATCATTTTAAAAAATGCTTGTGTTAGGAGCAGTATTGGAAGAATTAAACTGTTTTTTGACTGTTGTCTGCAGTAGTGCACCATATAAAATTTAAATTTGTTTCTAACTCGCGATTTCAAAGGTAGGCACCTAAATATACGAAGATTGCATGATATAAAAATGTGTATGAATAGGATTCCCCAAGGTTTTTATTACTCGAGATATACTTTAAAGAAAGCTACAAAACTACATTTCGCACTAAACTTTTTACGATAAATAGTTTCATATTACAAATACATATCATGCAATTGCTTATTAGATTATAATTGCAGCATATACATTTTTTCTGCAAATTAATTTGTACTCGTGCATTTAATAGTATTGTAAGGCATTATTGAGACCGAGTTATTTATTATTATGTGATATCTGCAATAATTACAACACGTATTCAAATAATGCATCTTCTATAGGTTATATAAACTTTAAAATTGTACCTATTAGTAATCCCGCACAACTTGTTTTTATTTGGTCATCTTAAATAATAATAATAATAATAATATTATATGAACACAGAAATTATTTGTCAAAAGCTACCTCACACAAAAACAAGATTGATTAAACGACATCATTGTATAAGCATACTGTTTTTTCTGTAAAATATTACAAAAACAATATTTGCATTTTAATTAAGTGTGAGAAAATTCATAATTTCTCAGATTATCATCGGTTTTAACTTTTTAAGTGTAAATCATATGCATTGTATACTATGTAGGTATATACAACTGATTACGCTGATTATGATTTGATGGTTTATAATTAGTGTATTGTACGTAAACAGATCGCTAACTCGTAGTAAAAAATATGTAATTTCATTTCCTGATAATAAAAAATAAAAGTATGCAGTTCGTTTTTTCGAAATGTTTAAAGATATTTGAACAGATTGCGAAATCGAAGAACCCTGAAAAACCCGTTGAATCAATGATTAAGTTGTCGAGTCGTATACTAATCTAATGATATTATGCGGCTTTACTGCAGTTTACGATGAAAACGATAAAATAATATTTATAAATGACGATAATATTATGCATGTGTTTATAGGTAAGACTTCGCTGCACGCGGTACTAGACTACGACGAAGAGGAAGAGGAATCACTAGATTACTACGAAGAACCGTACAGTCACAGCGGAGTGACGCCTATTCAGGGTCCTATATTTTTAAGAAACGGTTCTGTGCCGGTCGTGCCATTGTACGGCTACCAAAAAGTGAGCAACGGATCTTTGCTGCAGATACCGGTGAGTGATGTTCGCTTTATATATTATACCATCACCTGCAGTGTACCCGTGGGTAGGCGTCGATTTAGGACATACCCATAGGCTTTAAATGCATGGATCTAGACATTTTTTTTATAAACCTATGAAATACAACATACGCACATAGATAATTGAATTGGAGTGAGCCCAACGAGTTTGTTGTTACCTTCAAAATCATAACGCGGATAACGTGTGGGCGCATTAAACTATTTTTAATTATATAATTTTATTTTTGGAAAGATAATAATAATAATATAGAAGGCATGCGTATAAGCTTGAACTATTAAATAACGAATTACGTTAGGAAAAATATGTTTTATCATAATAAATTATTATAATTATTATGATTGTGATAATAATTTTTCGGTTTAAAAAAATAATGTTGTATAGTGCGAAATAGATGCAAGTCAATGTTTACAATATTATTATTTTATGGATTGGAGTATTACAATAATATTTATGGGTTCACTTATTATTATTGTGATTGAAGCCAAAATTCCAAAATAGGACCTATAGCGAAATGTATTAATTTTTTATGAATTGTAAGGCTCATAGGTTTGCCTATATAAATGTTAAAATATTTTTGACTATTATTTCACCCCGTTAAATCAATTAAGAAAATAAGCCATAGCTATTATACGTAGATATAGATTTTAATCGATGTTATATACCAATTTTAGATCGCTCCAGGGTTATTAGAATGTTAATTAATAGATAGAACATATTTTAATGTTTTAAAGATCTGGTTTTTTATTGTTTAAACCTGTGTTTTATATTTTAAAGATATTTTGACAACCCTGATATAGACTATAACGATTATTGACTTGATAAAATATAATAAATACAACAAAATTATTATATATTCAACTGGCGTATTATCGTTCAATGGTTATAATATATTGTACTTTTTATTGAAAGAAGTCATTATTCATTAGTCATTACTCATATAGGTAGTCATATTGTTATTAAATACGATGCTTTACACTTTTGATAGTAATTATTATAAGTTCTATGGTAATCGTGACCTAGTTCAACACTAATAATAATTGTGCTACTGGATATTGAGAAAATATAAACATCGTAAATACCATACCAATATACCAGAGTGACAGTTACATGAAATGTTCATGACAAAATTGCATAATGATCGCGCAAGGACGTCCGCGACGGGGCAGGGGTAACGTGTTTTCAAATGTTTTTATAATGTTTTGGGCAGTTTTGGAAATACAGCCGCGTGGACTGTGGCTATCTTTCTTATAACAGCGCATAAAATACAGTGAAAGTAGTCCAGACACAATTATAATGTATTCACCAGGTAGAGTTCCACGCGCCATCTATCTAATTTAAACATTGCACTAAACGTATTATTATAATTGTACTTATAAATTATTATAATTCCGACTGGTGTGTGTCATATATGTAGGTACCTACGCGGTACACCTGTGTGTGTATATAAATTCAGTTTCACGACACTGGATAACTTCCAAAACTGTAAGGCGTATTCAAATTTTTGAATGAAAAAATAAAATACATTTGATTTGACCTAACTAAAACATAAACAAAGAGTACCTTCCTAACTTATCTTCGAGTTTTATTAATAGAAAACATAAGAAGATCGATAAAAAAATCACCATCTATAATAAATGGTTATTAATAGCAACTGATTAGTTAGGTAGTATTTACTATTTAGTACAATAATACAAATTAAAGTGCCCTAAATCAAGAATACAGTTTTTACAATTTTGTAAAACCATTTATTTTCTTTGTATATCGTTATAAATTAATAATTATATACCACTTAGTACCTAGTTAGTAATGATGTTTTTATTGATTGCTAAGCTGTCTACATTTCACTACGAACATGGATTGATAGATGACGATAGATAAGTTTTAATTTTTATAATTTAATATGTCTATTTACTAGAAAACCACACTTAACTTTGTCTTTTTATTTTTAGTAGTCAACGTTATATCTTCATAAAATTCTCAGAAAAAAACAGTTTCTTATTTTCTATCGATTTTATTTATAAAAAAATTAAGTAAAGGGAATTATATTTTTTTTGAAATATTAAATTAAAAGTATAATCATTCATTTTTACTAATTATATACCTACAAAATAATACATATAATATACTGGAGTGCGTAATCTGATATTAGACCGAAAAAACTAATTATGAAACTAATTTATTATAAGAATATTACATACATAATTAAAATTATTTTTTGATTTATTTGAGTATTGGATTGATATTAAGTATAAATAAAACCTTAAAAATATTCTGAAATTCCATTTTACTTTCAGGTTTGAAATAACGTAAACAAGTATAATAGCAAGTAACCATATTATTAATATTAATATTGTCAAGTAGATGTGATTTATTCATTATGACCATTCGTTGTGTATGTAAGGAGTTTTTAAATATTTTACCTATTTATCATCAATGTATTTTTGAAAGAATTTTCATGTTTACTTGTTATAGTTGTCAGATATCTAAGTGACAGCAAAAAATAAACGATAATATGATTTGCGGATCTCTTTAATATTTATTCCCACAGAATTCTACCCTATACAATTTAAATATAACATAATATTAAATAATAATAAATATGTTTACATGCCCAATCATTTAGTCATGACTCGTGTATAGGCGCACGTGTATACAATGTAATTTCTAAGCAATGTATAATATATGATACAACGCTTATCACATTTACTTGGTGATTTTTTTTCCTTAAATAGGTACTATAAATAAATAATTTGATCGCTTGAAAAAGTTTAAAAACAATCATAATTTGTAATTCACTAATGGTTCTGGTAGAAAAAAAAACATTTTTAATTTAAGACTGAAAGAATTTAAAGCTATTTTAAAAATATAAACATCATATTTTGTAGTCATTAAATTTCTGAAATCTAAAACCTTTTTAAATACATATTATTATGTATTAGAAAAGAAAGGGAGAAAATAATATTAAGTTACGTAATTTCAGACAACCGTACCTACATAAAATAGGTATGTATGTGCAAATGTTTATAATTAATACCCACACATATAGTGCACATAGTAATAAGTAAATCAATTAGCTTACATCAATTGCATGTTACTTAAAGTTACATAACAATTATTTAACAGTAAAACCTGACTGCTAGAGAGAAAAATGTTACAACTTTTAATAGGGATTTATGATTTTTTTACATATGCACTGGAACCTAAAATACCTATGCATTGTATAATATTATTTAGAGATCTCTAAATAGAAGAATTTTAAAATGCTGTGTTTTGGCATATGTTAATCACGTACCTATACATAATTAAACCGTGTTCAAACTTTAAATGTGTCAACTACACAGATTATAATATAACTCGTATACTTGTATACCAAATATTATATCACTAATGACTAGGTACCTATAAATAATATGAAGGTATATAATAATATTTAATAACTATAATCTAACAACGACTATCGTTGAAACGAGAGAAATAAAGCAAACAATGAAAATCCGCGCAGTGAAAATTCTACAAATTACTCTCTATGAATAATATTGCCCCTCCAACAAATGAACGTAGATCACAGATGCTACTTACTATAGGTTGTTTTTAAAATGTATTATAGCAACAACAATATTGTGGAAAACAAATAAAAAGTGAAAAAAAATGTTTGCAATTTACAGTTTTGAGAACAAATTGTACTTTGGTCATATTGTTGTTTTATTTTATAAATTCAGAAAATAATGATCCCAGGGTTTATTTTAAAGCTCATTTGGGTTGTATTTTGCTTGATTGAGAAAACTAGATGTGACTTGAAAAATATGTTTTGCATAGTAAGTTGATATTTTTGTTATATTGGTTGACTGTTCTACAAATAATAAGCCTAAGTAATAATTTAATGAATTTTTACTATTTTGTACTACTATAGCGAATATTAATTATATTGGTTATTAGATGTTATTCCGCAGTCAAAGCCTAGGGATAGTGACATATTAAGTAAGTTATAAATTAAAATATCATAAAAGACCAAGGTAAAAACACAAATAATGATTGTTGTTTTTTACCTTTAAGTTTGATCATAGATAAATTCACTTTAATATAAAATAACTGCACTATTTGGTTCTGCCGACGCAAATCAAAAATCATACTGTTTAGACAAAAACACAATTTCATATAATGTATTTCCTGAAAATGCTCCGAACAGAAGCCGTCAGTACTTTAATATTTAAATATCTCTAGTTAACTGTGTTAATTGAAAGTAATTTACGTGCCCACATTATTAATATTCAATGTTATAAAGCATTTATTTATTGAATAATAAATATTGTTAGGACTTAGCCTTATATTTTATTGTTATAAACATTTTATGGAACATTATTAATAAGTAATAACGTTGTGTTAAATACGACCAAATATTATTCACTTACTATTTGTAACAATTAATCCAGAATATTGTTTTATTAAGACAATTTGATACAGACAGTTTTTTTTTTGACGAAACCATGCCCATGGCTATATATTATTGTAAAATAATTAATGCGATAAAAAATCTGAAAAAATATTTAAATTTGCCATGAAATTTAACTGAGATTGATCATCCTACTTAATCAAATGTCAACTATACTCGATTTTAATATGTACAAATTGAGAAATGTTTAAACTGTGATTAATGATATACCTATGTAATTATATGATTTACGAAAACTTGGTACACGCTTTTCGCCAAAAATTCTAGCCGTTGACTACAAATTGGTGTCATGTGCGGGAACACTCTGCTTTCTCGTCTACATTACATTGACGGTCACTAAGAGCAATTGAGATAATATCATAAAGATAAAATCCTTAGTAAATAATCTAAGTCCTGATTATATTAATCAGTAAAAAATAAAGCAATATAAATGTTAAGTTCAAATAATAGTTTATATTCTTCTTACATTTCTCGATGTTTATTACTATTATTATTATTATTACTAAGCATATGATGCTGTTATTGGCGTCGCCGGTCGTATCAAACAAATACATTTTTTTTTATGTCTGAATGACTGTAAATTGATGCCCAAAATGTAAGAACTTATAATTTATTATTTGGACAATCGTCGAAATGTTTTCATTATGAGATACATAGTAATTATAGATCTATTAATTAGATTTATTATAATCTATTATTACATTTTCCATGATCAAAACAATTATCATAGTGGCGGAAAAAGGATAGTCATTTTTTATAATTTGACGGATGAGCAGAGTATGGATAAAAAACGATTAGGTCAGTTTTGGAAGGAACCATTGACGAAGTGATGTGATAATAAAACTATTCATATATACAACTATGGGTAGGCACTAATGGATTTCACCAATAACTATATAATGGACACACAATTTTTTTCGGGTACTTATTGGTATTTAATAGGTAGTATCAATAGGTATTTATTTAACCTCGATAAAACGGCAAGGCATTACCACACTGTGTTTTATGTGAACATTCCAATATTTTCAACTCGAATTATATTTACATTTTTATCTAATGTACATAATAATGACCTCGTTAAAATATTACACTAATATTAGTCAGCTAATTTTGTTTGATAACGAATATATGGTATTTGATTATTTGATTACGATTAATTAAATAAAACAAACATAAGAACGCAATATATGTTCTGTAAACAATTAAAAAACCTATGGAGTCCCAAAAAACAGGAATGTCAATTTTAAACCAAAAAAAAAAAATCAGAAATCATAATAATCATTAAAAAACAACTTAAATTATTGAATTACATTATGATTTTGAATATCAGTTCGAGCCCCAGTGGCCAGGAAGATTATAGTTTGGTCTATGCATACAGGTACAATTATTAATTAAATTAATTTTAATTTTCTTTAATTTTGTTTTTAGTGTTTTTCTTCCTTGGTCACTACTCTTCCGGTTTATGAACTCACTTAAAAATTAATTTATCACATGTAATATGTACACATATTATATACTATTATATTTGAAATACATTAGTTTACTAGACTACTAGAGTAATTTTATAAAACTCTAATAATTATGTTTACGTGTTTGGTAAAATCGTCTGAATAGGTACGAGCGACACGTACATTACACAATTTTTATTTTTTATATAATATTAACATAGATACATTTTTGAGCTTAGTACAACAATTTTTTTCCGACCGATTTCACGTCGTCAATTTCACGTTACAGTACCTCCTAGGTTGCACCTAATATAATTACGTTACCATAGCAACCTCGATTGTAAAATTATTTTTTTTTAATTATACGTTTTTATATTTGAATCCCATGATTACATTTTACTTTTTACTTGTTCGAATTTAGTAGTTGTATCAGAGCACTTTATAAACTAAATTTTTTTAAATTTGTAACAATTATGACTTAAAATTTATTTTGAAAGCCAGAAAGTCTACCACGAACCCCAAAAAACATATCAATGATTCATTGTTTTTCCGTGCAGGTGAAAAAATATCAAGTAGCACTTTACGTTTCTTTTTAACATAGATATGTTTTTGGGATACAAGTTTTTTTGTTTCTGACTGATTTTTCGTTAGGTTTTCGTTGTCGCGTTAACAAATCATATTTATGATTCAGATACAGATTTTCCTTGTGGTAAATAAATATGATGGTTTTTTTTAATAATAAATTCACCAAGATACATAGATGTATCTTCTACAAGACTACAAAAGTTTTAATATAGACATCTTGCTGTAACATCCAAGTGCTTTTTTAAAGTTAGGATAGGTTAGTTATAATTTGTAGAGTTTCTGGTCATAATATTGTACATAATATACGTGTTCATAAATCATCACTATAATTTTTAATAATAATCACATTTGACTACAACAAATCTAATTATTATAAATTATATAAGTGAAATAAACATTAGATAAGTCAAAAAAACAATTCATTTAGACAAATCATATAAATATAATTATATTTATACAATATTTAAAAATATAATGCATACATTTTACAGTTCCCGATTGTTAGTCGTTAGATATTATTAATAATACAAAATTACAAAATTTAAGTCTGCGTAGCCAAATTATTATAGAACAGTGTAGGTAACTATAAAGTACAACAATAATTTGAGCAATTTTATTAGTCATATATAAGTTTAATGATATTATGAAGGTTTGTATGTCAAAGAAATTTTAATAGGAAAGGGAAATTGTATAATCATCATCGTCACGCGAACTTATAATATTATTAACATATGTAACCATATAAGTATAACACAATTAATTTGGTGTATTAATCATAATCTATAATTTAATTAATCATATACACGTGTAATTATAATTTTAGACTTGAATGCTAAAATTCAACTTTTAAAAGTGAACTATTTTTCTGCCTGATAACCCTACCCCCAATATTAAAACCGATTAGAAAATGAATAACTACCATACGTATAAATGGCCTATAAACGCCATAAGATACAATATATTGTGTATAATGTAGATTGTACTATGCTGTATCAGCTAAAAAAAATTTTTAGTTGCAAAATATTGGAATAGTTTTTTAAAGGACAGGGCAAAGTTGGAGGGTCATCTTCACAGACATCTAATTAATTTGTGTTTTTTTTATTATATTATTTTCTGATTTATTTTTAAATACGCATTTATGTGGATTTTATAATTTCTATTATTGTATCGTTTTCATAAAAAATAGAACAAAATATTTGTACGATGAAAATTATTTAATGAAATTTTGTATTACTTACAGGTATTTTGGACTGCTCTTTCATTTGCCTTAGGATATGAAATTGGAGGAGATGTGATTCGTGGAACCCCGTGTATTAAAAGAAATCACCAATTGTTTTGTCCGACAGCAGGAAAAAGTTACCCAGTGTAAGTAAGTAGTAACTAAACTACCCTCGTGATTTTCATACATATATATATATTATTGTATCTGCGATAAAATATCAAATACATGTTTTCAAGGATAGGTACGATTAGATACTGTAATAGACGTATTTTCAAACAAGTGAATTATTGGATAGTTTTTATTGTAAACACACGAATATTACAATAAATTAATAGCTTAAGTACCTAAATGTAATTTTTTCTCCTCTACAATAAATCAATACTGTCCGGGATACTTGAAATAACATCGTCAATGCGGTTGGTATAGCTATAATAGCGGAAAGCGAAAGATAAACACACAATTTTACTATATTCACGAGTCACGGACTATGACATCAGAGTCTGTGATTTAAATATATTTATAATACAGCGATTAGAACTCGGAGCAAATGGTCTAAATTGTTATACGAAAGATACATTTTCTTACACTTAACTGTTTGATTTCAAAAGTTCCTAAGTATATAATCATAAAATATTTGTACTATTTTTTTTCTTTGTTAAACTCAGAGACCGAATCGACAGATTTATCGATGAAAACAAAGCGCTTATGAAACGAATGTATGGTGATTTCGAAATGATGGAGAACGGGCCGTTCCCCAAGGCAAAAAGATCGACAGCTCGGAAAAGAAGACAGGACTCCAGTTTCTCGGACAATCAATCGAAACCGAATAAGCTGCCGACCAGAGGCCAGCCTGCAGATTCTGGAAGGTACTATTCTATATAATAAATGCTTATATACCTAATACCTAACATGTTTTCATATAATACAACATTATAATACGCATTTTATTTGTTTAAACATCTATACTAATTTATATATTTGGTAGGTGTAGGTATTATAGAATTTGGTATTATGTACTTGACTGTATAGCTGATGAGTCATTAAGTGATAGATAACAACCTAACCTACCTATAGGTATTACCAATGTGTTCAACGCAATACTATAGTGTTATTATTACCACCGCCTACCTCATTTCTGTATACATCAGATATTCAGATATTATATTCATTGGACCACTGTACCTGTGCATTCATAATATTATAATAAGACATAAGTATACACCTAATAACCCCTGACTTAACCAAAAACCGTGAGTGTCGAGAAGGCCCATATGGCCATACAATATAATATGCACCTTTAAAAAATAATGTTCAAATAAATGTGCTTGGTGTATAATTTTCAGAAGTCCGTATAGTTATTCATTGATGTACGTAATAATTAATTCTCTATACATTTTATTTGGTGCTATTAAAACTGCAGTAGATACCCTGAAATGATATTCTCAACCAGATTGTCTGACCAACGTCAACAACTCGACATGTTATTACTTCATACTGTGCTAATTGTTTTCGTAACATTTATTATCGTCATGGTTCATAAAAATATAATTATGAACGTTCCTATACTATGGATAGCCACAAATAATATGTTTTTGTTTACTTTTTATTTTGGCTAGCTTCAAGGTGTACAACGTTCAGTAGGCAAATGGGTTTTTGTCATCAGACTAGCGGTGGCCCTAGGGCGAGTCAAGTCGGACATTTATCCTAAACTACACTTTTGAAATACCACAGCCCCACCACCATCAAGTTCAAAAATATCTTAATACAAGACATTGTTTATACTATTAAGACTAAATATAAAATATCTTAATGATCAATTATAAAATTTTAACTTGTACTATATTTAAAAAAATAAGTAACTTTAAAATGTCAAACAAAATAAAATAATAACTAATTTTAATCCTCTGTTCTTTTTTTATTGTTTTTTCTTATAAAAACTAAAAAGGTACCTATTGAACATGTCTATTTTTATTGATATAAATTATTAATTTGCTTTTTTTAATTGATCTTAAGCCAGGCAACTATAGCCATTAGCTGTTTGCAGGGTACGGTTGGTTTGGAATATGTATTTGTATATGTGGCAAGGATTTTGTTGCTAAGAACCCCAAGTTGTCACCCATCCGGGAGCTAGGAACGGCGGCCGGTGGTACACACAGGGCGCTTACGCAACTGAGTGTAGATACCACGCCACACCAAGCCACAAAATAATTTATTATGTTCTTAAAGAAAATACATTTTGTACTGGGTCCCGCCAAACCTAAATTTTCCGCACTTGAACGAAAAAACAGGCCTACGTCATGACCGACGTGCGAGTCATTCGACTATTATAATGTATACACGAGTAGTGCCTTTTTTTCCTGTTTAATCGACAGCAGAGGAGGCTCTATTTTAACAATACCACTCCTCTGCTGCCATCGTATTGGCAAATAAATTTAAATACACTTATATGTAGTAGGTACCTACCAATAACTATTACTATACATTTATTATGATACAATAATATTGTACAAATGAAATTATGGGGTAACGTAATTGAGTACAATACCTACCTACTTATCTACTGAATGTCTGAATATACAAAACCATTTAAAATTAGAATGTATACCTACGATTTCGTATATCTATGGGTACTGTATAATATATATAAAACATAAAATAATAACTTCATAAGTACTTACACAATGTTTTATCTAATATATTTCCTAAAACGTCAAACCATATAAATGCTTTAAGATAAGTTCACATAATCACCTACCTAAATAGAATTATTGAACAGTTGACTACATTATTTTCGTCATAGTTGCAAACAAAAAATGTATCTGTTTTCAAGAAAATAGAAACATTCTTAAAGCATTACTTAGACGTAATATTGTAGTTTATAACTTGAAATTGTATAGACTATAAGTGGAGTAAATATCATCTACGCAATATGTATAATATAAATATATAATGAATTAATGACTATGTGTATTGTGTATTGTCGGAAAACATTTTTTAAGAAGTATTGAGATTCCTCCCTCGGATATCTGAATAACGTCAGCCAGTAATAATAAGGTCAAAAATGGACAATAGTACGTCACTTTCAAAACGTAGAGAGAGACTATATTACATACTTATATAACAATTTATTTCGTATAAATACTACTTACTAATATTGGAGTTTAATTTTACAGAGTTGACTCTTGCGAATCTAAAGTAGAAGTGGTTACTCCGTATTGGGCTTCGAACAGCGTGGGTAAGACTAGAGCGATCGTTAACACCGAACACTTCGAACAAGCTATTCATCAAGAAGTCTGCACGTGAGTCAATAATAACGAAACACAAAACGAATTTATTTATTTATGTAAACCAAACGGACTATAAATATTCTAACATAAGACTCATTGAATTGTTTTGTTTTTTTACAACAACAACAACAAATACATGGTATTGTATAATATTGTATATTGTTTACCTATAACTTTAAATGATTCTAAAATCTCAAGTTCTAACTATTGACCCATTATTCAATCTATTTACTTCGTAATATGAAATTTAAAATACTAATATAAATCACTGTTGATTGAAAAAGGACACAATTGTATTAAAATAATTCATTTAAATTTAAAAACATTTTGGCTAAAAAATACATTTCTTGCAAGCAAAGCATTTTATCTCTTTTCTCGTCATAATATACATATAATAATCTATATTAATAAATATAATATAGAGGGGCCACTGTGTTTTTCAATTTTCCTGTTAAAAATAATATTCCATAAGCCCAGTGGCTCACTCTGTATGTTGTACAAGGTAATTCTTTTAAAAAGGTTAATAATCATCTTCTTAAAAAGTAATAACGTTTTTGGAAATGTTTTCTTTTGTAATTTAAAATATTGAAGTCTTTTTAAAACAAAATTTTTATTCTAAAACTGATTTTTTTTTTTGAGAATTTCAGTATATAAAATTTAAAGTTTGATAGAGTAGCTAATTAATAAAGTATAAGTAAGTTTATATGAGTGGAACAGTGGACCAACATTTTTCAGTAGATTTCACTTTGCTAATCTCAATTTAAAATAGTTGTAAGTTATAACTAATTTAACACTCTTTCAAAATTCAATGTTTATGTATTTGAATTGAATTTTTCAGTATACTCTGCTTTGGAATGAATATGAAATTTAAAATGTATGCTGGCATTCAATGTGGTTTTGCTAAGTTTATGACTTAAGATTCAAAAAATAAATATTCACAAAAACGTGTATACAGAACAAACCTCACGTATATATGGAATTTCTTTAGGGAATAGGGTTTACCTTTAATTCTTAAAATAATTCCCTAGTATATATTATGCACCCACCTATACATAATACTAATATAAACGTTTTCCTATTTACGATCGAAAACCATTAACTATAAGTAAACCTAAATTGTCTAAACATAGCTTGAGAAAAAATTACAATAATTTTTTTATCTTTACAGCAAGACGCTGACGGGGCGCTGTTCGGGAGACTGTGGGTGCGAACAAAAGTATAAATGGCACAGGCTTTTGGCGTACGATCCCGACAACGACTGCAAAGGAATATTCATGGATTGGTTTTTGTTCCCGTCTTGTTGTGTGTGTCGATGCGATTCGGCAACCCCAAATAGTGTTTAGCTGTTAATCTTCCATTGTCCGTGCATGTCAACTTTGAACTTATTATTATATATTATATACATATTACATATAGATATATATTTATTATCCTTTAGTATAGCTGTTTAGGAATAATACCTACGCTTATATTATAATATTTCGTATACATATAGATATTTATATATTCAGTGCCTATTTAATATAATATGCTTATCCACGTACGTATGTGTAGCCTTTGTAGTATTGTCACACACGCGAGTACAAGATAGGTATTTGTGTTTGGTCTTGGAAATAATCCTCTTATGAATAATAAATTATAAACGTTTAAATGTATAATATTTTATTAGTACCTATATTATAATATATTAAGATATGTTGGTTACTCGTGAAACACCAATTTCACTGAAGAAACCAAGCATTTTTATTTCTTATTAACGGTTGTATAAACATAAATTATTATAAATGATTAATTTATATATGCTAGCCATAGCCCATAGGTACCTACTTTTATATTTCTTAATAGTTTATATCTCTACGAAATACATAGTATAAACACGAGTTTTAAATCGTACAATTTCACTCGGGAATATTTTCATTGAAAAGAATATCGAACGAAACTTAAATTGAATGTTTTTGAGAATTAACCACACATACTTCAAGATTCTTACGTCTGTATAAAAATAACTTAATATTATAATTGTTTGATTTTGTATATATATAATATATATGACCAACACTTTTATCTTATTTGTTATTAATTGTAATATATAATTAATCGTATAAATTGTACAATTTTTAATGTGCATGGCTTATATGCCATTTAATATGCAATATTATGCAGTACAATATGCAGTTATTTTTAAAGTAAACATGTAGGTATTTATATATTTTAATAAACCTAAAAAATGAATAATTATATTTTAATGAGTTACCTAAACCTACATTTTTATTTTTCGTTTGTAGAGTTTGTCTGTATACAAATTCTTCGATTATAAACCCCGATAGGCTCTCTTAAAAATTATAAGACCTAGGACCCCAACCAAATAGGTATCAGTTTCAGTAAAATTTAGTCATTTTATTAGATTTTTTTTAAATATTTTTATAAGCTATATACTATGTATACTGTTTAGCATAATGAGTAAATGTGAAAAGAGACAGAACACATGAATAACGCAAATAGGAAGTCACCCACTAGTAACTCTTTGCTTGAAGCGTGAATGAGGAAAAAGCAGAGGAGTACAAATTAAGGAGGAGAGACTATAACAAGGGAAAGAAATCAGAGTAAATTAATTCAAGATATCTCTGTATCCCGTCTATTTCAGAATTTCAACTAAAATATAGATTTGGCTTATTTTTTACTTGAACAGAAATTCATTTACAGTTTGCTGTTTTTAAAAGTAAACACTAAATGGTGTTATTTTGGTAATTGTATAGTTTTGTCTTAGTTTAAGAAACGGATAAATAACTTGGCTGATGTTATTTTTATAGTTTATACATGGTATACATGGGACCTATTTCTATAAGTAAGTTATAAGTAGGCCCTGATTATATTTAGTTTCCCAGTAGAGAAAATGGACCCTGTAAGCGCGTAATTAGGAGAATAAACATTTATTAATACATTTTAAATAATAATGAATAAATTATTCTATGAAAAGCATTAATTCAGTAGGTATATTCTTTTTTTTTATCATATAATCACTACACTACAAATTACAAAAAGCAATGAGCAGTGTAATTTACAAGCAGTTTAAAATAATAATTTATATATTTAGGTATTTTATTAAGAATTCCAACCAGATTCTACAATAAATAAAAATTATGTATAATAAATAGTAATAATGATACCATGTTAAATACTCTAACATTTATTTCATACCAGTAAAGTAAGGTAAAAAATGGTATTGAAAAAAAAACACACCTCTAACTAATTTTTAATAAGACAGCTTTTAAATTGAGTTCCTCTTTGCTTTTTATAATTTAATTATTAAGAGGTGTGGTTTCATTTTTGAATACCATATTTTACCAAACAATGCTAGGTTTGGTTAGAGCGTTTAACATATTATATATTGAAGGACCAGCTGTTGGCGTTGTTGATAAAATATTAAAATATATAAATAATTATTAAAGCACAGCAAATATATACAGTGATACCTCCCCTAACATACCTATCCCAATAACAGATGTTTTCTTGGAAACCAACTACAAAATTTCAATATTCTGAACCCTCTGAATAGCTGACAAAATGTCAGCGACTGAGTGTCTGGTATGAAAAGGTTTCACTGCGTATAAATACATTTCACCCCGGATTAAAAATTGAGACTAGCATTACAAACATTCAAATAATCACTAAATTAAAACGAAGGCAACTTTAGTAAATATTATAAAATACCTGTTTTTATTTTTTACATTTATATAAACTAATTGCACTTTATGTACATACATATACTTACATAATATATTATTATGCATATATAAAATTAATATAAATCAAACAAAATTTTTATTTATTAAACCCGTAAAAGCTTCTTAATAAGTACACCAAATATGTTAAATTAAATAACCATACTTACTTCCCAAAATCACTGGTTTTTGTTTATATTAAACCCAAAATAATTATTATTTGTTAAAAAGGTAACACTGAATAATATACCAGTTTCTATTATAAAAGATTTACAATTTCAGATCATTTAATTAGAATTATAGTTACTAAAGTTATTGAGAAAATGGAAAACTGTATGATTTTGCAAGTTCAATATTTTGAAAACATCAAACATTAAAGTTCAAAATTGGAATGATTCAAACAAATATTACTCTGTCTTTATTGGCTGAACTTGAACAACGCAAAAATATATTTTCTACCATTTTGAAAACTTCATCAGAACTCTTAGAGGCATCAACTTTAGAATGAATTCCTAGAACAGCATATTAATTTAAATATGTATTTTTTAATTACAACTAATAATTTAAGCAAACCTTTTTTCTGATAATAATCTATCAATGGAGATGTTTGTTTGTGATATGATTCAAGACGCTTTTTAAGAGCATCCACATTATCATCAGCACGACGAATCAATGACTCCCCAGTTACCTAAAAATTGCAGACAACCCTTTAAAAACTATATTATAACTATATCTGGTTATTTTATGTCTACAAATTAAAATATTAAAATATTATATCATATTTTAAATAAAGCTCACATCATCTTTCATATAAACTTTTGGTGGGTGGAATTCATCGTGATATGATCGACCGCTGGCAGGGTGAATCAAACGCCCTGTTATACGGCGAACCAATAAACTATCACTTATGTTAAACTCAATTACAGAATCCAGCTGTGTTTTCCGTTTTTCTAAAAGATTGTCCAACTAAAGAGGGAATTAAATATATAAGATATTTTAAGTTACTGGAAATGATTAGATTTTTTGTTTTTACTTTTTCAGCTTGAGGTACTGTTCGTGGGAAACCGTCTAATAAGAATCCTTGTCTACACTCTGGTCTGTCTAAATTTTGATCAATTAAATCAACAACAAGACTATCACTAACCAGGTTACCTAGAATTGAAAAAATAAGTGAAACCAAATTATTATTTACTGTAGATATTAAATAATAACAACTAAGATTAATTTTTACTAAATATTTTATGTAACAATTTATTATTTAAAACTTAATCAAACAATGTACTAACAATCTTATCAAAACAAAATGTGGTTGATGAATTTTTTTTTTCATTAGACTATTTACAGTAAACTCTAAAAGATTTGCTTCTAAGAAATAAAATAAGCATATTTCATATAAGATAAAACTAAGTATATATATATTATAGTAGATCATGACCACCAGTTAAATAATTATAAATGGGTAATTTAATCCTAATAGTATAAAACAAAAGATTTTATTATTAAAAACTAATTTACAGCAATTTTAATTTAAGTATCCTAAATTGACTTAAACCATGTAAGTCTTTGATTGAATTACAATGCTAATAATTTTTGTCTTTAATAAATTATAATTAGTTTCTAGATGCAGTTTTATAATTAATAAATTTGTAATATATGACATGGATATATCATATATCAATGTTATTATAATAATTTTTAATACGATTTAAACTAACCGTGTATTTTATAATTGTTTCAAGGTATCCATAACAATGATAATAATTTTAAAAACTTTAAATACACGTGTATTATTATTTAATAATAATGGTAATGATAATAATATGTGTTTAATATTAATATAATATAGGTTAAGAATAAATGTTTTTAAAAAATATACTGTAATACTTTATAGTTGTAACAAGAACGATAAAAAAAACTATTATACAACAGTACCTAAGTAGATTTTGAAATTACCAGTAGTAATAACAGTTAGTTTAGCTTGGGAAAAAACCTTCGAAGATAAAACACAATATTGTACATTGAACTTAAAATACTACAGGAAATACTATATACTGTTAATTAGTCATATAATCCTACAAAACTACTTTAAACACATTAAAGCAAGAGTTTCTCTACTTACTAGCTATTTAATATTGTTATTTATAAAACTATCTATCTACAGAATATTTTTTAAAAAAAAAACTTTGATAAAGAACCTTGCCCACATACTACACTCATGGCCCTTGGTGGAGTCTAAAGACTCTTCCAGAAACAAATCTAAGGTTCTTACGAAACAGAATATACATAATATGACCTTCAATTTACATAAAGAAAATGTAGCTAAGTATCTTGCTCATTAAAAAAGAATTAATAGATAAATATGATAAACCTATTAATACATATATTTTTTTATAATTGACACAAGATTATATGTGGTCAACTATTATAATCATAACAGCTGCCTATTACTATTTTACATTTTACAAATGTGTAAAAAGTTTCTTTAAATATTTGAGTATAATAAATAGAGACTACAAACTTTTAAGATCAGCAATATAGAATATCTAAATTTTATTTTTAAGTTAATTTAATAATATTTAAGATATTATATAATTAACAAGATTTAAATTATTTTGTTTTTTAAGCTTAGAAGATAACATACGATTTAACTGAAGAAGCAATGTAAATAACACATTACACTAAGTATTAAATATTACAACTTGTACCTAGTTGTGTTTAATAAATAAATAAAATTAAGTTTTGTTAAATACATTAAATCAAACTGCATTACTGTCAAAGAGGAAAACTGTACATGGGAATCTAGAAGGTACTCGGATGAATTAATTTTTCAGTTAGGACCACAATTGGTAATTACCTGATTCTATTACTTGTTTCACCCTCTGACCTAGTTCCGAACCGGAGGCCACTTCAGAGCGCAACATGTCGCCTGTGGACAGGTGACATGAGTAAAATTTTTGCAACAGTTTTGGAGCCTGCAAAGGACAAAAAGGTAAAACAAAAACAAAAGAGAATAGAAAAAAAAGCGTTGGCTCGTTTCGGTGTTAAAATTACCTAAGAACATAAAAAAAAATTCATCTACCTGTGTCCCCTTGCCCGAACCGGGTGGCCCAAGCAGGACTGCGTTGATGCCGGGTAGTTTGACATCTTCCTCGGGTAGCGGTCTTACGGCGGCAGCCAGGGGTGGCATGGTGTGTGCTGGGACGACGAGGAACTTCCGGAATGACCTTCGGTTGAAAGGAGGCGATCAGACCTCAAAATCCGGTCAAGGAAGCTAGCAACACGGCTACTAAAGTACTAACGGACGGGCTAAAGCACCGCAACCGCGTGATAGAGGTAAATGATGACGACAACTACAACTTACAACTGACAAGCAACATTGATAATTATATTTGATATCAATATACCTTGAATGACGACATGGTATTATTTTTATTGCCGTACATTCTAAATCGCAACGGTGATGACATAACTTTCGAACCGCATCCGAGTGAGGTTAAGCCGATCAGCTGTTTTCGAAGATAAGAGTGAACCTGATAACGAACGCCGCGAATTCGGCACCACAGTCGCGAGTCGTGATGATTTCAGATTTTCGAAATCGAAAATACCCGTCTATCAGCTATGACAAAAGCTATAAGCTATTTATATAAATATAGTATATTAGTATCTATTTTCTACGCATATAATATTATAGTACATTAGTACCTACTATCTGGGAATTTAAAATTTAAACACAACGTTGTGTATATTTTTATTTATTGTCGGCATACTTTAGGTTAGTTAGTTTTATTACTATTATATAGGTAGTAAGTAAATAGAGTGAATTGACCTTTTATAAAATTTAATGGTAACAATACTATCTGAAGTATGTCTTTATATTTTTTCGATATTTTAATTTAAAAGCAAGTTATAACTGCAGTGGCGTATTTAAACATTTTGCATGGTTGGGGGTCTTCGTAATTTTCCCGACACAAAGATGTGAGTTACATTTATAAACATTTTTTATAATCCCGTAAAAAATAAAAATTTAACATCGTTGTGGGCCAACCGGAGACCTCTTTGACCCCCCCCTTCCATAAATACACCATTGTATCATGATCAGGTGTGTCGGTCGTCGGACTCCTCGTCACAACCCGCAAGTTACATATACAAACCAAACCAACGTACGCGGGTATACAACATTTATTTAGGATTAACAATTCACGTTTAGCTTAGTTTATTTAAAAATTAGAGTAAATCAACTTATTATGAAACATAATGATAGGAACATTATCTGTGTTCGTACGTCGGTTTTTTACGATAATTCAGTTTGTAAGCGAGTTACGAACATTTTTATACGGTGCTATTTTATATACCCAATAAACTCGCTAAAAAATTGAACTATTGTAAAAAACCTACATACGAACCCAGTTGTAATGTTCAGATGTTCTTATCATTAAATTTCATAATAGGTTGATTCACTTTATAATCATTAAACTAAAGAAGCTAAATGTTAACTGCCGAGCTTAAATTTGATATGTTTCGCATTTGTAAGAAGGAGATAAGAATATACTGTGTGACTATACGTCGATATTTTATATTTTTTTATGATGCTTCAATTTTTAAGCGAATTATGACATGCATATTATGTAAAACTTTAAAATATTGCAATTTAAAAATGCTCATAACTTGCTTAAAATTAAAATATCGTAAAACAAAACTATATAATAAACACATATAATTCTCGTAATTATTTCGAGAAACTCATTTTACAGTTTTATGTGAACATTTGTATTTGTTGGTGCTGAGGCCTGAAGTAATATGAAAGTAATACTAACCCGATTTTGTTGATATTTTTATATAACTATACATAAGCTCCTAATATCTCTAATTTATATTATGGCAAACGAAAGAAAAAATAAGGGGGCGTTTTTTTTTGAATTTTTTACTAGTAATACATTTGTAGGTCAAATAATTTATTTTTTGTTCTTAAAATTTTGACGCAGAGGGTTAGGGTTAGACCCTACTATAATACTACTAAAGTTTAATCTATAGACTAAAAATAATAGTATTATTATACTTAAGTCGTAATTGTTCGCTTATTAATCCAAAATTCTCATGAAAATAAGTCCCTAAACCAGCCGTTTGATTAATTTCGTTTAGGTATACCGTCGATTCACAAACAAGTTTCCTTTTTGTTAAGTATAATATTAACTATCAAGTTTTGTATACATGCAACATTGAACATTGTTATTTATATATATAGGTGTATATATATACTAGAGCGGTATCATCTATTTTTGTTTCATATGCATTAGGTATACCTCAATTATTTGGTAATTACTATTTACTCAATTCGACTTACTCTTCAGGAATAGTTCATAAAATATGCATAGCATATCTTAAACAATTTGTACTTGATGGAATATATCATATCATATATTAATATGCTGCCTATTTAAAATTTAAATACCTATATTACTTATAAAGGTCACATGGATATTGAATTTTGAGTACATATCTATCCTAGATTTCTATAAGCTAAGTCTAATTATATATTAATCAAGTCATTACGATAAATAACTAATCAAACACGAATCAATTTAATCAAAATATTATTATTATATAACGTAAACCATGTCTCTATTATAGCATATATATATACATTGTTATTAATAATAAATATGACGTGTAGTATGGAACTGTCGTTTGATTGTATTGTAATAGAATTTATAAGGCCTCGACAAAAAAAATCATGTCGCAAACAGTTGCAAATCCATCACTCTAATCTACCATAAGTTTGAGAAATAATGCAGTTTTCAACAATCCTGTTCATTGTTGTAGCCGGTTGTATTAATTCGATGTACGGAAATCAAAACATATCCTTTAGCAATTTATCAAATTCAGTTTCTCGACTTTATCTAATCAGTGTAAGAAATTTAAACACAGATTTAATATTAGTCGCATTGACCTTTAATTTTCAAGTAAATTACATTATAGGCAATATTTTTTTGGGTTTAGAAAGAAAACCCCGAAATCAAAGTACTGAATGCTCTGGTTAATGAAATCATCAATAAGTACTTGAGCAGTTGTCATGTGAATATAATTTTTGACGACCTATTTGATACTGATTTGTATTACAAGGTAATTATTAATATTAATTGAGATCTTAATTTATTGTTAACACTAAAAACGTGAACAATGTAGTTAAAATGTTATTTATTAAATGTTTTGTCAATAATTTATAAAATACCTAGACAATAAGTTTATACCTATAAATTTAAACAATACTTAAAATATTAACAAATACGAAATATATATAATTTACAATAATTTATTTTAATAGACACTTATGTTTAATATATACTTTAGTACTTAGATGATAGAACTTGTACTATGATTACTGTAGATAATATATAATATATTACATTCAATTAAATGGTTTAATTAGTGGAATACCTGAGCCAAAACGGATATAGTTGGACTATATTATTGGTGCTGCAATGATTTTAAATCAACCGTTTCTCGTTTCACGTCATCGAGTGTTGTTTTATATTAGCATTCAAAGTATTTAAAAGGATGTCTAGCTGGATGTCAACGCACTATTTTGTTTTCTTTTTTTATCCCATGTTCAACATAGAAAATATGAGTTCTAAAAAATCAATCTTATATTGTTGGCTTTAATTTTAGAGTAACTTAAAGTTAAGAACATCTGTTTTTGTACCTTGACTTGCCATATTCCACTGAGATATATATGAGCGTTTTTTTAGTAAAATTGTTCATAAAATAATATATCAATGATAAATAATTAATAATATAAATTGTTAAAATTTTCATTTTATAATAATATGAAGTATAAACCATTTGTTAGCTGTTTTGTTGATTCAATAAAACGTATTTAAAAATTTTTTTAAAAAAGCTTATATTGTATATGTATAGGCGTATTGCTTAAGGGATTGTAGAAAAAATTATTTTATCACTCTTAAACTTTACCCAACTACACCTAATGTGCACCTATATATACACCGTATATAATATGTATACCAACGTAAAAACGATAATAAAAAGTTAAAGAACAGACAATTTTAATAAATTTGAAAGCTTTTTAATATATTATTAATTTGTATTTACTAAACACCCTGTATGTGTGTATAATAAACTATGCACCTATACACTGCACAACGTAATATTAGATACCTATAGCCTATAGGTACTATTATTCGTATTATGGTATGGGCGTTGATTTTAAAATATATTATGAAATCCACGGTATAGGTATAGGTTAGGTTATTACTAAAATATAAACAAATTATTGTAACGATCGATTACCTAATAATAATGATGAGCAAACACTAAGGATATTATATTATATACCTACCTATTCAATTTATTAAATAAATGCTATGTATTATTAGTAACCTACTGATAATATATCAATTATCAAACATCTGAAGCATCAATATAATATGGTGTAACACTATTGGTTCATAATTTCATATGTAATTATTCTACAGATGTCGAATAGGTAGAGGGCAGAGGTATATTATAACTATAGTTATTAGTTAATATATCAATATAGTATCATATTCATAAAATTGAATTTGTTCCTTGTCGATCGAGGATTAAGAATTCTGATTGCCACCTTCAATATTCATAATATTATTTATTCGTAACATAATGACTCATGTATTTTATCATAATACCATAAATCATAAAAGTATGATAGCTAGTAAGCTGCCCGTTGCAGTACCTACCTAAATCTACAAGTATAACGATGGTATACATACTATAAGTACATTGTACAAATTTTAATAAACTATTCTACAGAATTCCCGATGACCCCGTTTTACAGTCTTAGTTACTCTGAGTGATAATGAATATGAACGATATAATGTTTAGATTCTTATATATTATAGAAGTTAATTATCTGACAATACCTTTGTACTATTTTAATTTTTACAAAAGAAAAATCTTGTAGAGATATTTATTTTTATTTTTATAAGGAATATGCAATCTATAATAATAATATTTCATTTATAAATGTATAATATAGTATATTGAAAATCATTGCATACAAAAAACGATTTTGAGCGAAGACGCAGTCAGCGGCGTCAGCCTATATTATATTACTACTAGTTACTATAATAATAATCTTTAAAAGTGTTAATAGTGTGCACGAATAATATTTTTAAATAACAACAACTCATAGTGAACTCTAGTAAGTAGTATGGGCTAATTATGAAAAACCTTTAGTTTTAAAATTTCTATCCTTAGCTGTAAAAATTGAACATTTAATACATTTTTAAATACAAAATGAGTTGCAAATGTTTGTGATTTTGACGAATTTTGTCAACATTTGACCATCTCAAATTGTGCATAATATTATGTATCATTAATATTTTAAAATTGTTACAAAGACATCGACACATCGTATGGATATTTGGAGATAGTTTCAAACTTTCAACTGTT